TCCACCCAGTGGTTTACCCCCCAGATGGCTGCAATGGCCAGGGCTGGGCCAGGTTGAAGCCAGAAGCCAGAAGCCTCTTTGTGGTCTCCCATGTGGCCACAGGGGCCCAAGCACTTGGGCTATCTTCCACTGCTTTCCCAGGCTCACTAGCAGGGACTGGATTAGAACAGCAAGGTACATGAACCAGCACCCACTAGGGATGCCAGCATTGCAGGCAGCAACTTAGCCCATCACGCCACAACGCCAGCCTGAGATCAATCTTTGTGATACCCAAGGGAGACTTGGGACAGCCCAAAGACAGCTAATATCCAATAGATTTCAGGTACTTTCAATAGGTTTCAGGTAATATGTAAAGAAAACACAGCACTAAGTAAAAGCGATTATTAGGAATTCTAACTCTTTCAAGACTGAAGATCTGTTAAAATGAACGAAAAAGTAGGACAAATAGAAGTTATGGAACATTTTAATAAAAATGAAAACTGCTGTTCCTCAAGGACACAACACTTTTTAACTCTTTGGTTTTGGTAGGAACATTCTATACACTCAAGGATTAATTTATCATTTTTGCAGGAGACCCAAATTCTTATTTTAGTCTTTTCAGTTACCACCCAGGCAGCATATGCAATGAACAATGCAGAAGGCTTTCTTACCTTATGAATAAACCAATTATTTTCTGGGCTAATTTTGAAAAAAAAAATTAACATATTTCTCTGCCTCTTTCAATCTCACTATGTCAGACCAGACTAATAAGCTTGCTTTTCCTTTCTTTTCACACTTTCAGTATGCTTTCCAATTTCTTCTATTACCTTCTCTCATGTTCTGTCACAACTGACACTTTATATAAAATAAAATAATATTCATCCATCATCTGGCATACGAATATAAATACATCTTATAAAAAATTCTTGAGGAAGTAAATTTATACATCTGTGGCTAACTGATGGTAGGAATAAATATAAAACTGGTGTTTTCAAGTGTACAAGATAGGTACCAATAGATTTACTATCAGTTCAAAGTCTTATTTTTTAAAAAAGATTTATTTTCATTCATTTGAAAGGCAATTAGAGAGAGGCAAAGCATTAGTTTTTTAAAAAGATTTATTTTTATTTATTTGAAAGACAGAGTTACACAGGGAGAAAGATCTTTCATCCTCTGGTTCACTCCCCAAATGGCTGCAACAACTGAGGGTGGGCCAGGCCAAAGCCAGGAGCCAAAATTTTCATCCGGATCTCCCATGTTGCTGCAGGGGCTCAAGCGCTTGGGCCATCTTCCACTGTTTTCCCAGGCAAATAAGCAGGGAACTGGATCGGAACTGGAGCACGCGGGACTTGAAATGTCACCCATATGGGATGCTGATGTTGCAGGCTTAACCGATAACATCATAACGCAAGCCCCCACTTTCTAACTATTCACTAAAATGGCTCCAATTATCATTTGAGTTAACATTTTATTTATTTGAAAGGCAGAGTAACAGAGAGAGAGAGAGAGTGAGCAAGAGAGATCTTCAGTTCATTGGTTTGCTCCCATAATGCCTCCAACAGTGGGATGTGGACCATGCCAAAGCCTAGAGCTAGAAACTCCATCCTGGCCTCTCTTGTGGGTACCAGGAACTCAAATACTTGAGCCATCGTCTACTGCCTCCCAGGAGTATTAGCAAGAACCTGGATTGGAAGCACAAGGTAGCCAGGACTTGAGCCAGGCATTCCAACATGTGTCAAACAGCGGCCAGTGCTGTGGTGCAGTGGGTTAAAGCACTGACTGAAGTGCTGGCATCCCATATAGGTACTGGTTCTAGTCCCGGCTGCTCCACTTCTGATCCAGCTCTCTGCTATGGCCTGGAAAAGCAGTAGAAGATGGCCCAAGTGCTTGGGCCCTGCACCCGCGTGGAAGACCCGTAAGAGAAGCTCCTGGCTCCTGGCTTTGGATGGGTGCAGCTCTGGCCGTTGCGGCTATCTGGGGAGTGAACCAGTGGATGGAAGGCCTCTCTCTCTCTCTCTTTCTCTGTCTCTACCTCTCTGTAACTCTGTCTTAAAGAAAAAAAAAAAAAAGCAAGTATGCCAAACAGCAGTTAACCCACTGTGCACAACACCCATCCCCATTATAAACTTTTAAAGAGAGTAAACCCTTTTAAATGACTTAGTTATTATAATTTCTTTAATTGGAGAAATAATTTTACATTTTTTGGTAATAACGATAACTTGCTTGACTATATATAACTTTAAAGCATTCAGGTTAATTAGGATTTCCATGAAAAAATAAGGCCAAGTTTTGCATAAATTAGAATCCTATATTTGTATTTTGATAAAATCAGGAAGAAATAGAGGTGTTTAAAATTAAAATTTTCAGGGCCAGCATATGGCACAGCAGAGTAAGCCACAGCCTGTAATCTGAGCTCAGGTTTGAGTCCCGGCTGCTCCACTTCTGACCCTGCTGGTGCCCGTGAAAGCAGTGGAAGATGGCCCAAGTGCTTGGGGCTCTACCGTGCACAAGGCAGACCCAGATGGAATTCCAGGCTCCTGACTTAGGTCTAGCCTAGCCCCAGTTGTTGTAGCCATCTGGGGAGGGAACCAGTGGATGAAGATCTCTTTCTCTTTCTATCTATTTCCTTCTCTCTCTGTAACTCTGCCTTCCAAATAAAAAAATAAATCCTAAAAAAAAAAGAATTAAAATTTTCGTCTTGTACCTTGAATAAGACTATATCTTAAACTTTTAAATATACTTTATAAACCCCTGTATTTAGAAACTGAATATTAAAAATTCTTTAAATTGTGCTTTAAGTCTCATTATATCCCTTTGCTTTTTGTCTTGTAACCTATAACTAAGACCATTCATTTATTTCAGAGTTAACATTTTATGATCATCTGAGGTGTAGATTCAGCAAGCTTTTCAAGGTTTTTTCTTAAGAAATCAACATACTGAAAGTATTAAAGTGTTTTTCACTTTCCTTCTGTAATTACCTTATCATTTATTTCAAACCTTTAAAAGTATGATTTTTAAAAATGTATATATAAGGGTATCAATCTCTATATGCCAGTCAAGGCAAATGCTCTGCTAAGTCTAAGTAATTTTAATGTAAGTCACTAATTTACTCCTTATGTTAGATCTGATTGAGCTAGTTATCCATAGAGGGCACACAAAGTGAAAGATCTTAATAACAAATGCATCTCTCAAAGTGTTCCTGCGAGATGAAGAAGGAGGAACAGAAAAGGAGAGATGGGAGAAGTGTGGGGGTAACCATAAATATGGAGCATACTAAACCACATAAGCAGATTAATTATCTTTGTCTTGCAAGAAGAGGAAAGTAATTCACCTCCTCCCACATAGGCACATGCACACGTGTGTGCACACACACACACACACAACTTGCACAGCTTCTGTCAACTCCAGCTAGAGGTCAAAAGTAAACACAGAATGTAGAACTTTGCAGGTGAAAGAAGGCACAGAGAACTTTCTCCAATGACAGGTGCTCCTATCAGAGGGTGACTAAGCCATCAGCCCAACTCCCCCAGCGAACTAGAGGGGGCAGGTCAGGCAGGGCTTCACCCCCACTTAATCAGCAATGGAGGCTCAAGAAAATTAACTCATTGCAAGTTAAGTACGCCCTTGTACAGTTACACCCCTATAGAGGGGCCGGTGCTTGTTTCAATGTCAGATCTTGTTGCCCGATTGGACTATTTCTAAGACGGGTCTCCATCTGATAGAACGTTTGTACTAACATCTCAACTACAGAAGATGTCAGAATCCCCAAATCACACAAACAGGCAGATAAGAAAGATCAAGCAGATTCTGTTGTGTGCTTCGTGATAGAGATCAGAAAGCCATCTGTCTGTCTGTCCGTCAGCCATCAATAGGTGATAAATGATTGCCAGTGTCAGACTTGACCAGGGACACAAACAGAAACAAAGCCAGGAAACTAAAGAATTAGGAAGAAAAGGAAGAAGGAAAAAGGCAGCGATGCTAAACCTCTGGTACTGCCTGAGTTTCATTTGGGAAACCAAACAGGTGTTTCTGGGTTTACACGCAGGTGAGGAGAGGGCAGTCCTCAGCTCAAGTAGTTTGGTTAGCTCCAGCAGGTGAGGGTGAGAGTTAAATTATTATTTTTCTAAAGAAAATTTAGGTTTGCAGGACATGCTTCAATTTTGATTATCTTGGGGACCATAACTAGGCGGGATGATTTCATTATTTTGGTTTACATCAAGGTGCAAAGTTTGTTGTGTTTCTTTCCTATTTTATGTCATCTATTCAACCAAGTTGGAGGCAGGAGAGCATCAGTCTTATGGAAATGCAGTGTTTCCTAGAGACTTTGGGGTCTCAACAGGCATGTCTTGTAAGTCCTCCAAAGACCAAGAAGCCCTGAAATCGAGGCAGGTGGAGCTGCACCTGCTGCAGCGCTCTTCCCAGCCCTAGGTGTCCATCACCAATGACCAGGGGGCTTTGAAAAGGAGCCAGAGAGCCTTACTTCACTCCTGTGCCACGGGACTTTGATACTGATGTGTGTGTGTGTGCTTTCAAAGTTTTTTAATTATTTATTTAATTTGAAAGAGAGACAGAGATGGATAGAAGGAGATCCTCAATCTACTGGGTTCACTCCCCTAAATGCCCACAATAGAGGGGGTTGGGCCAAGCCAAATGCAGGAGCCAGGAACTCAATGCTGGTCTCCCATGTGAGTGACAGGGACCCAAATCCCTGAACCCTCACCTGCATCTCCAAGTCCACATTAGCTAGAAGCTGTAAGCAGGAACATAGCCAGGACTTGAACCCCGGCACGCCAAGATGAGACCCAGGCATCCCATGTAGTGTCTTTTTTTTTTTTTTTTGAAAGGTAGAGAGAGAGAGAGAGAGAGAGAGAGAGAAGGAAAGAGTGTGTGTGTGAGAGAGAGAGAGAGGAAGAGAGAGAGATCTTCTATCTGTTGGTTTAGAGAGAGAGAGAGATCTTCTATCTGTTGGTTTATTCCCCAAATGGCTGCAATGACGGGCTGGAACAGGCTGAAGCCAGGAGCCAAGAGCTTCATTCTGGTCTCCGACACGAGTGCAGGGGCCCAAACACTTAGGCCATCTTCTGTTGTTTTCCCAGGTACATTAGCAGGGAGCTGGATCAGAAGTGGAGCAGCTGGGACACGAACTGGTGCCCATATGGGTTGCCAGCTTGCAGGTGGCAGCTTAACCTGCTTTGCCACAGCACTTGTCCACCACATGGCATCTTAGTTGCTGTATCAAATGCCTGTCCTTGGCTCTGTGTGTGTGTGTATGCGGGGCTGAACACCAACATCTCTCACCCTAAATGTTGTAGAGACTGTTTCAATCTACCCCCAGCCAGCTTACCTGATTTTCTGAGTTACATGCTTTTAAAGCTGCATCAATATGTTTTCCAAATTCTGCTAGAGGGAAAGGAACCTAAGCTTGTGGCTAAATTTGTAACCTAAAGTAGGGTTTCCTAAGGACAGTAGACAGAGGAGCTGGAGGCTGGGAATTTGGTCGCCTGTGTGAGAATTAAGAAGATACCATTTAGAAGCACACGTCCACCATAGTTTCTTGATCTTTGAAATAGATTTATACCCTCCTATGGGACCTTTATATTTCATCAAGATCAACCAACATTGTGGTGATCCACTGTGCACTGTGCTTATCTTATGCCTCTCCTCCAGAGAGGAGCAGGTGTTGGGAAGCTGGAGCGCTGTGTTTCTCAGAGTGTGCACAGTGACATCAATGCCTGCTGCACAAAGGAACTGCATTAAGCAGACTCTGGGAGATACCACTACTGTTCCTATCCTAGTGATTCATAATGCACATTAACATTTTAAGGGGTCTGGGAAATCCAACAATAATTAAATCTGCAGTTCCAAGATTTCCCCTCCCCCTAATTTTTCCCCTTTCAGGTAACAACAGTTTTCATCCTGAATATCTGGTGGTCCAGGGACTACACTTGGAGAAATGCTATATACAGGGTTGTATCTTCAATTTTGGGGGGGTAGATGGGGAAAAAAAAGACTGATGAATTTGGAAACAAAGTGTTATGCTAAAACATTTTCAGAGCTTACAAGTTTGACCTAGGGCACACAGCCCGGGCTGGGGCAGGAGGTGCCTGCCCTTATGCTTTGTCTGGAGCCTCTATCTGGGTGCACATGTCATGCATTGAGATCCGTTTGATGGCATCTCTGCCATGAGACTGTAATACTGAAGGGCGTGGCAGGTGCCTGCCATGTGGTAGATAGTAGACACACAGTGACAGTTTGTTGAATGAATGACTGAATGAATGAGTCATGTTTCTGCTGTGGTCAGCTCTTGTAGCAGTACCATGTTCCCCTCCACCATCGTACAACTCTATGCCCAGGAAATGAATGTGGTCACTTGATCTGACAGATCATCACACAGCAAGATGCCTGGTTGAAAAGGATTTATTCTGGGGCTGGCGCTGTGGCTCACTTGGTTAATCCTCTGCCTGCGGTGCCGGCATCTCACATGGGTGCCGGGTTCTAGTCCCAGTTGCTCCTCTTCCAGTCCAGCTCTCTGCTGTGGCCCTGGGAGGGCAGTGGAAGATGGCCCAAGTGCTTGGGCACCTGCACCCACATGGGAGACCAGGAGGAAGCACCTGGCTCCTGGCTTTGGATGGGCACAGCACCGGCCGTAGCGGCCATTTTGGGGGGTGAACCAATGGAAGGAAGACCTTTCTCTCTGTCTCTCTCTTTCACTGTCTATAACTCTACCTGTCAAATAAATAAAAAAATTTTTAATTTAATAAAAAATTAATAAAAACAAAGAAAAGGAGTTATTCTTTGCTGGTGACAAGCCACAGCCCGGTCCCTGCTGGGGTATCTGAGAGGGAGATGCTGGCTGGGGCCTGTCCTCTCTGTGCCTTAGCTGAAATTGTCTCACTGCAAATTAGACACAACCTTGAACAGGGCCTGGAGTTGCTTCTTTCTATATCAAACCTCGTCACCAACCTACACTATTTCTGAAACTGTCTCTCCTCATTCTATAGGATGTTTGTATTCACGTGTCGCCAGCATAACACTGTCAGCATATTACTGAAATTACTTTTATCTTCCATGTTGTTTCAGTGACAAACAGTTTACAAGATTATAAATCTTGGGAAACAGGAATGTCAAGACAACAGCAATCTTATACAAAATTCATAAGTAATGTCTGACACAAGTTAGCCGGCAGAGACGAGGACATGAAGAAATTCTGCTATGGCTATTGTCATTACTGCAGGTGGTTATTGTTAAACCACCATCTTGACACTTTTGATCTTGCCCAAATAATTAACTGCGGTGACTTAACTGGTCACTAGGCATTGACTGCACGCCTCTTGAGAGTCAAGCTGTCCACGGGAGGATAAAATAATAGGCAAAAGAGTTTGTGTGCTTGGAGAGTTCTCAATATACTCAACAAAGGATGCATATAAACAAAAGCAATAAGTAGATGCAAAAGCAGCCTGGTCCTCGGAGACTGAGGCATGGTGCTCTGTGCTTAAGGGGTCAGGAGGTGCTAAGTTAATTAGGAATAGTGGAGAAGATTTATTTATGTATTTATTTTCATTCTATTTGGAAGGGAGTGACAGAGAGGAGAGATATCTTCCATCTACTGGTTCACTCCCCAAATGCCTGCGACAGTCAGGGTGGGGCTAGGCCAAGCCAAAGTGGAGAGCCTGGAACTCCATCTGGGTCTCCAACATAGGCGGCAGGCGTCCAAGTACTTGAGCCCTCACCTGCTGCCCCCTCAGATGCGTGTTAGGAGGAGGCTAGACTGGAAATAGAAGAGCTGAGATTTGAACCAGGCATCCTGAGTGGGACGCCAAACACCTGCCCTTGAGAAGATGGGTCTTAGAGGAAGACTCGTGGCATTGCAGATAAGGGAAATAAACGTCATAGGAATAGGGGCCAAATCCATAAAGGAATAACCCAGCTATGGAACAAATTACTTACAATAGCATTTATATGTCAAATAAGGAAAAATGTTATTTTTCAAAGATTTGCTCATGCTTTTAATTTCGAAGTAAAATATAAATGTAGATGATTAAAGTCTTATGGATGTGACACATGGTGTTGTCATCATTGCTGTTGGATGAGGAATGAAGTCTGCCTCACTGGAAGGATTAACTCAGGTAAGATTGTAGTTTCTGTCCTGTTGGGTAAAGAAGAATAAACACTCTCTTGGCTCCTAAACAGAAGCATGCAACCCAAACCTGCACTTCTTTCTGAGACTCACATGGGAGACAAATATTTTTCTCCAGGCCCAGGATTTAATGCACCAGAACTGGGAAGCAGTTTAATGACTATAACGAAGAAATTGAATCTGAGCGCTCCTAACCCTTTCTAAATTTAGTCTGTGGAAGGTGAGAGTCCTGTAGGGCAGAGCAGCACTCACTCTGCCCTGTGGCTGCCAAGATGCTTACAGCTGATGTGTTCAGCTGGAAATTGGATGTTGGAGGGAAGAGAGATAGTGGGGCAAACACCACAAAGGTGAGCCTGCCATTGGGTGGCGGACAAGAAGAATTAGGAGAGAGGAAGTGAAAAGTCTTCCTAGCTGCATCTTTGTCTTCCCAATTCTGTCTCATGCAGAAACTCAAAAGGCAAGCTCAGGAAGGGCTTGGGAGCTCAGATGTTGGGTTTTTCCCAGTTTTATTGTATGTATGTATGTATGTATGTATTGTGAAATGATAAAACAAGCTGTATGTAGTCCTCACATTGCGTGTTGGATTCAGAAAAAGGAAAGAATTACTGGCTGTTGTCATTTCTTCTGGGGAGGAGGTTGGAGAGAGCAGATTACTGATGTGCCAGTCTTTTGTCTTTTTTTTTTTTTTTTTTTTTTTTTGTGGATGATCTCAAAGGTCACAGCAGACAGGATAAAGTGGTCTTGAAAGAACCAACTAGGAAATCAGCCCAGGACTCCCAACAGTGTCCAGGTGCCTAAATCCTTTGTCAAGGCTAAGATTAGTTCAAATCTTGGGACCAACTTAATCACTTTCCCAGAGTCGTCTTTTTGAACAGCCTCAATGCTGGTCAGTCTTCCTCCTTTGAAAAGTTATTGTGAGCATGAAAAAGGATATTTCTTAATATTTTTAAGGTCATGGTACCTTTGGGAACTCTGCTTTTTTTTTTTAAAGATGTATTTATTCATTTGAAATCAGAGTTAGAGAGATTTTCTATCTGCTGGTTGAGTCCCCAAATGGCTGCAATACTAAAGCTGGACTGATCTGAAGCCAGAAGCCAGGAGGTTCTTCTGGGTCTCCCACGTAGGTGCAGGAGCCCAAGCACTTGGGCCATCTTTCAATATTTTACCAGGTACATTAGCAGGGAGCTGGATTAGTAGTGGAGCAGCAAGACTTGAACCGCCACCCATATAGAATGCCAGTGCCGTAAGCAGTGGCTTTATTCTCTATGCCATAGTGCCAGCCCCCAAAAGCCCCCAAAATTTTTAGCCTTAAATAAGTGCAAGGAATTATGTTTTTTTTTATTTTTTAAGGATTTATTTATCTATTTGAAAGGCAGAATTACAGAGAGAAGGAGAGACAGAGAGATCTTCTATCTGCTGGTTCACTCCCCAAGTGGCCACAATGGCCAGTGCTGAGCCAGACTGAAGCCAGGAGCCAGAAGCTTACTCCAGGTCTCCCATGTGGATGCAACGGCCTAAGCACCGAGGCCATCCTCCACTGCTTTCCCAGGTGCATCAGCAGAGAGCTGGATCAGAAGTGGAACAGCCAGGACTCACACTGGCGCCCATATGGGATGCTGGTGCTGCAGGCATAGCTTTAACCTGCCGAGCCACAACGCTGGCCCCTGTAGTTTTTTAATTTGACAATGATAAATATTGGTTTGAATTTTTGCAAGTCATGAAAAATAATTTGGGGGCTAGTGTTGTGGTGTAGCAGGTGGAGACACTGCCTGCAGTGCTAGCATTTCATAAGGGCACAAGTTCGAGTCCTGGCTTTTCCACTTCTGACCCAGCTCCATGCTGATGTGCCTGAGAAAGCAGCAGAAGATGACCCAGGTCCTTGGGCCCCTGCACCCACATGGGAGACCCCCAAGAGGCTCCGGCCATTGTGGCCATTTGGGGAATGAACCAGCAGATGGGAGATCTTTCTCTCTCTCTCTCTCTGCCTTTCTGGTAACTCTGCCTTTCAAATAAATAAATAAATTTTTAAAAAGTAATTTGGAGGGGAGTCTGATGAATAAGGAAGGGGGGCAAGCCAAGACAGGCAGTTGGAATCCCAAAGGCAGACAGAAATGGGGAGATTGTTTTGTGTGGTTCCTAAGCTGAAAGCAAAACTTTATATTTCTCTAAAGGCTGTTGGAGAAGAGTTTCAAAATTACCTGGAGAAGGCCGGCGCCGTGGCTCAATAGGCTAATCCTCCACCTTGCGGCGCCGGCACACGGGGTTCTAGTCCCGGTCGGGGCGCCGGATTCTGTCCCGGTTGCCCCTCTTCCAGGCCAGCTCTCTGCTGTGGCCAGGGAGTGCAGTGGAGGATGGCCCAGGTGCTTGGGCCCTGCACCCCATTGGAGACCAGGAAAAGCACCTGGATCCTGGCTCCTGCCATTGGATCAGCGCGGTGCGCCGGCTGCAGCGGCGGCCATTGGAGGGTGAACCAACGGCAAAGGAAGACCTTTCTCTCTGTCTCTCTCTCTCACTGTCCACTCTGCCTGTCAAAAAAAAAAAAAAAAAATTACCTGGAGAGTAGTTCCTGCACGCTCCAAGTAACTGGATTCATCTGTATGTATCCATTCCAGTGTACTCTCTACAGGGCACCATGGGTGTTGAAAGGGGAATCCAAAGAAAGCTGGGGAGGTCTCTGTTGGCAGAAGAGTTAGGGGTGGGGATGAAGGTTGCAACCCAGAGACCCCAAGCAGTCGGCTCACAGGACGAGGCTGACGTTCTGGGGCTGCTGCTGCAACAAGTTCAATGGTCTCCTTTGCTCCTGGCTGAGCCTTCCAAGAGCGAAGATGCAAGCACAGGTCCTTTGCATGGACGAGCCCAGCGGGACAAGCTCCGGAGGCAGCCTTCATTTCGACCTTGGGCGTGGGGAGATACACGTTAGGGTAGCTGGACATGCTTGGATTCTGGTTCTACCATGTTCTAGTGAGTGGACGGAGTAGTCAGTCCTTGTAAGTCCACTTATCTTTTCTGAAAAATTGTGCCAATTAACATACCCTTCAAAGGTGCTTCTGATTTTGTTTATTTTTTATCATGAAAATTTCAAACATTTTAAAATTAAACAGCATAATATAAGGGGGCTTCAAAAATTTCATGGAAAAATGCATATTATAAAAAAACCTGTATATGTATTTTATACCAAAATAACCATCTTTTAATTCCATTTTCCATAAACGTTTTGAAGTCCCCTCATATATATATATATATATGTCTATATAAAATATAGATAGCTATGGATATATAAATACATCTAGTCCTCATGTTACCCATGACTCTGCTTTAACACCTGTTCCCTAAGCCAACCTTATTTTTTCTCTCCTTTTACCCATCAATCCCCACTCCAGGTTGTTGTAAAGCAAAGCACAGGTATCGTGTCATCTGTTCCACAAATGTTTCCGAATAAATCTCTAAAAGGAAAAAGCTTTTAAAAACAATAACCACAATTCTATTATCACATCAAAAAAATTGCTGAGTAGCTCCATGATGTCAAATATCAGCTACCCAGTTGGTGTGCACGTTTCTCCAGCGGCCTTATAACATTTTTAACAGTTGGCTCCAATTAGGAACAAAGTCAGGTCCATACATGGCAATTGGTTGAAATATTTCTTGTGTTTCTTCTCCCCAAAGGATCTCTCTCCCTCTCATTTATCTCCTCGCTATTTCTTCTTTCCTGTTGGGATAAATCCCTTTGCAATTTGCCATTTGTCTCACAGAGTTTCCCCACAGTCGAGAGGTTTTAAAATACAGCCTTTGTTGTCGTTCACGTGCAGTGCGGCTAGCAGGTCTCCTGACAAGTTTGTCACTCACAGCTCCCAAAAGAATGGAGCCGAGTGTGTGTAGCAGGGAAGGGAGACAGCAGACAGCGCAGGGCAACAGGGAAGGACAGGGTCAGACAGGAGGCAGAAGGAGCCCGAGGAGGGCGTGGCTAAGCGCCTTTGTTGTGGTTTCCATAGGCTGTGGGGGCTAGTCTGAATACTTTCCCTGGGCTCTGAGGCAGAAGGGCTGTCCATTGCGATGTGGTACCTGACTCCTGAGTGATTCGGGCAGGAAACCATTGTCCTGCAGTGAAAAAGCCCAAAGGAGGATGCTGGGGGGTGGGAAGGCTCACCGAGGCTCTGCCGACAGAGACCTCTTTGCATGGGGGAGGCATCCCAAAGGCCTGCCGTTCGCTGTCTCCAGGAACTCCGGGACAGCCAGGCTCCTGTGGTCCAAAGGCTCCAGATGTCAAAACACCAGAATAAAATTACATGCTTAATGCACAGATTTTACCTATTGCAGCCTCGTGCTGTCATTTTTAGATCTTTCTCCTTCCTCTGTATTGCTTATAAATTGGTAATAAAATATAAAGGCTTGATTGGATTTAGATTCTGTTTTTGTGTGTGGGTGCATTTATTTGAAAGACAAAGTGATGGGGGTGGGGGTGGGACCAGAGAGATCTTCCATCCGCTGAGTCACTTCCCAAATGCCCACCAGAGCCAGGCCTGTGCCAGTCTGAAGCCAAGAGCCAGGAACTCCATCTTCCACTGCCTTCTTAGGCACATCAGCAGGGAACTGGATTGGAAGTGGGGTGGCAGGTACTGGAAACAGCACTACGATATAGGAGGTTAGTGTTGTGGCTTAACACACTGAGCCACACAGCGCTAGAACCAAGGAGTGGCAGTCTAACCAAACCATTCCTTCCTTTTTTGTTGGCTTGATAATTTTTTTCTTTAAAGAGAAATATCTCCTTATCTACTATTTGTTGATCCAGAGAGATGATCTGTACAGGAAAGTAGGTTAAATGTTTGATTCTTTCCATTTATTTACCTGTTTTCAAAAATAGTGTATTAAAAAAATCTCCTTTCTCTGACAGTGATCAGTGAGTTTTTAGACAGGTTTAAACATGTAAGGGTACTCCAGAAAGTCCACAGCAAAATGGAACTAAAAGATACATTTAATCTGGTGCAAAACATTTTTAAAATCCATGCACTGGGCTGGTGCTGTGGGGGCATTGAGTTAAAACCCTGGCCTGAAGTGCCAGCATCCCATGTGGGCGCCGGTTCTAGTCCTGGCTGCTCCACTTCCAATCCAGCTCTCTGCTATGGCCTGGGAGGGCAGTAGAAGATGACCTAAGTCCTTGGGCCCCTGCACCCACATGGAAAACCCAGAAAAAACTCCTGGCTCCTGGCTTCGGATTAGTGCAGCTCCAGCTGTTGCAGCCATCTGGGGAGTGAACCGGCCAATGGAAGACCTCTCTCTCTGTCTCTACCTCTCTCTGTAACTCTGACTTTCAAATAAATAAAATAAATCTTTAAAAAAAAAAAAAAAACAAAGAAATCCGTGCATAGATTTTTTTTGTAATATGCACTTTCCGTGAACATTTTGAAGACCGCTCTTTTTTTAGCTGTTTGAATCTATCATAGTAATTATTCTTATTGGTGCTGAAATTGTCCCTTTTTTGGTCACTGGGAGCTTATTTAAGTTGGCTCTTGACTGATTTTGACATATACTGGTGATCTTTGGTAGTTGCCTGTCTGCTAGGATAGAAGAGTTTTAGGTTACCTTATCACCCAAACCCTGAGGTCAGCCGTGTCTCTGAGAGGCCCAGTTCCTTTTAATGGAGGGTACTTAGAGACCACAGCTCACTGCTTTTCAGCGCTCTTTGCTTCTGAGTTGATCATCGTTTCTAAGTCTCCCCCAGGTACCAAGCAAGGAAACACGTAAAAACAACTGGTGAATGTTTAAGTACAAGTTTTCCCTCTTGCTTTTTTCTTCTTTACTTGTGTATACCCTCCTTTCAATTTGACTGTTTAGTTCATACCAATACTTCCAACACAAATTCAGGGTTTCAGGGTTTTTTCTTAACTTTTCCAATAATACTTTTGCATCATTTTAAAATACGATTTTTAATTTATTTTATTTATTTGAAAGACAGGGGCGAGAGAAAGCGAAAGCAGAAGTGAGAGCAAGAGAGAGAGAGAGAGATCTCCTAAATGGTGGTTCACTGTCCTCAAACAGCGAGGACTGGGACAGACTGAAGCCAGGAGCTGGGAACGCAATCTGAATCTCCCATGTGAGTTTCAGAGGTCCTACTTGAGCCTTACCTGGTGCCTCCTAGGGTGCACATTAGCATAAGCTAGAATCAGGAGCAGTCAGGACTAGAACCCAGTTACTGCAGTATCAGATGTGAGCACCCAAGGGATGTTTCAGCTGCTTCTCTAAATGCTTGTTTTAGTGCTGAAAATCCTGGTTCTCAACTCAAACCAAGATATTTACTCATTTGCTTTATCTCAAAGCATACAGACATCAGTCTGGAATAATAATTGCAGCACTACTGCCAAGACTGTGAGAACTGAAAGTCATTTAATTTGTCCTGAGGTTATAGTTCACAAAGGATGTGAACTAAATGTTGTGTTTTAATTCACTGAAACATATCTCTTGCATGGTTGTGCTGGCAACTTGATTTCCAGTAGCCCATCTATTTGCTTTAGTTTTTTAAGGATTGCTTATTTAAAAATTTATACTTAATGTATAGTCAAGCTATATTCAGAGAAGGTTAGTTTTATTCCAGTCTTTTCTACCCTGTTCCTTCTCTTCCTATTGGTTTAGTTTTTGGTTTAGCTTTCCCTTTTAAAATAAAAAAATCATGGAGGCTGGCATTGTGGCATAGTGCGTTAGGCCTCCACCTGCAACACTGGCATCCTATATGGGTGCCGATTCAAGTCTGGCTGCTCCACTTCTGATCCAGTTCCCTGCTAATGTGCCTGAGAAAGCGGTAGAGGATGGCTCAAGTGCCTGGGTCTCTGCACCCACGTGGGAGACTCAGAGGAGGCTCCTGGGTCCTGGTTTTGGCCTGGCCCAGCCTTGGCTGTTACAGCCATTTGGGGAGTGACTCAGTGGAATGGAAGTTATCTGTCTCTGTCCCTCCCTCTCTTTCTGTAACTGATTTTCTAATAAATAATTAAATCTTTAAAAATTATGTATCTGAAAGGCAGAGAGAGACAGAGAGAGAGAGAGAGAGAGCTCTCATTTGCTATTTCACGCCCCCATTGCCCACAATGGCCAGGGCTGGTGTGGGCTGAAGCTGGGAGCCAAGAACTCAATCCAGGTCTTCCTATTGGGTGGCAGGAGGTTTACTTGAGCCATCTCCGTTGTGTCCCAGGGTCTGCATTAGCAGGAAGCTGCAGTCAGTCACCAGAGCTGGAACCGAGGCACTCCAGTGTATGAGGCTGGCATCTTATAATGTGTATTAACCACTGGACCAAGCTCCCCCATCTCCTTTTTTTAGTATAAGAAAACTTTGAAAATGCAAATATTCATTACCCCTCTCCTTCTAAGATAAAGGTAGCATGCTCTACAATGCTTTCTCTACCTTGCTTTTTTTCTCTCAATATATCCTGAATAACACATTGTAGGAATGTTTTAAATACGAAATAAAATATAACTCCACAGTCTTTTATTCACAATTCCCAAATCTTCAAAGCTCTGAAAATCTAGAATGTCATTATAAGCTTGCAGCAAACTTATTTAGAAAGGAAAAATCAAATCTGAACACACATAAGCTTATTTGTTATCTATTTTTTATACAAGTACTTAAGTGCATATCAATATGTGTCTGATGCTGGGATGTTTAATATATTTGATTATGGATCCAGCTTCAGACCTCAGTGCAGGTGCTAAATAATATATGATATGTGCACTGCATTACCTTCCAGAAACCTGGAAATGATAAATTCTGAGACATATCTGGCTCCAAGGATTTCAAAGCAGGCATCTGAACCTGTAGTGTATAAATCATTTATTAGTAAGTTTTAGTCACCTTCCTTCTCCAACAATTGTTTTAGCTTTTTAAAAAGGATTTTGACTTGGGGCCGGTGCTGTGGCGCAGCGGTCAAAGCCCTTGCCTGAAGCGTCGGCATCCCATATGGGCGCTGGTTCTAGTCCTGGCTACTCTTCTTCAGATCCAACTCTCTGCTATGGCCTGGGATAGCAGTAGAAGATGGTTCAGGTACTTGGGCCCCTGCACCCACGTGGGAGACCTGGAAGAAGCTCCTGGCTCCTGGCTTCAGATCAGCACAGCTCTGGCCGTTGCGGCCATCTGGGGAGTGAACTGGTGGATGGAAGACCTCTCTCTCTCTGTCTCTACCTCTCTCTGTAACTCTATCTTTCAAATAAATAAAATAAATCTTTAAAAAAAGGATTTTGACTCGAATGCTCCCATTTCTGTGTATAAAGCTTTAGAAATCTCCCTTTTTGGTGTAACTAGGTAAAAGATATGATTCTTGCAATGATTTGGATGAGAACCAGAAACTCCCAGGTTTTCCTCTCACGAGCCAATGGCGGCTGGGCTTCCAGGACCTCTTCCTTCGTGAAGCAACTTTAGGACGACAGTTTCTGCTTAGAGCTTTAGAAGACCTGTATCAGTGTTTTGAAATCTTAAGGCAGGCACGAAGCAGATACATGGAGTGGAAAACCCAGCTAGAGTATTTTCACAGGATTCCCAGACCCTGCTGCCCCCTTCTATGGTACAGCATCATCCAATTTGGATGTGGAAAGGGCATCATTGCTGGTAAGCGTCTTCCAGAAAAATCTAGACTCACCACGACTAGAACAAGCAGCCTTCCCTAACCTTCCTGTGGCTTTGCTGAGAACCATGTGTTTATGGTGCTGATAGCAGGCAGGGGTGAACTATAATTATAATACTGCTCTATTTTACTGCCAACCACTTTCCAGACACATTACATCATAAGCTTTATTGGGGAGGTGACTGAGGCCAAACTTTTCACCAGTGAGAAAACGGAGTCCTCTTCCTGTGGTAGATTGAATGAATGCCCCACGCTTGAAGGTTCGCTATGTTTATTACGTTTTCCTGTGAGAGGATCATGTGCCAGGTGCCACTGGCAGAGCCACTGGGCTTGCTGTGGCCAACACTGGGAGTGGACACGCCGTGGGCCACTTCTGGGGGGAAGCCCGAGGAGTCAGCACACTGTTTGCCGTGTGCTCTCTTTCCCCTCTGCCCTAGGGCTCCCCACGTCCAAGACAGAAACGTCTCCATCAGCCCGAGTCTGACAATGAGGGTGGTGTGGCACGAAGCCTCAGCCACAGTGATGGACGTGTGGCATGGGTGACTCCAAACCACTGGGGTTGGAGGTTATTTGCTACTGCAGCATAACCTAACTCGTACGACGGATGCCCTTGCTGGGGCCGTGTTAGATGGCAGAGGATACCTAGTGTCCAGATGACTCCAATTTTTCACTGAAAGCTGACAATTATCCTTTTTAATTTCTTACAGCTTGCATTCCTTACCTATTCTAATTTTTTAAGTCACTTGGGACACCTAATTAATATTTATAAAATTATTTGCAATCCCATATATATGACAAATATTAAGTTCTAAAGCATCAATATCATTATATATAGCAAATTTTAAGTGCTATAAATATTCTCCAGGGTGGCCTTGTGGTAGAGTGGGTAAAGCTGATGCCTGTAACACCAGCATCCTATATGGGCACCTGTTTGAGTCCCGGCTGCTCCACGTCTGATCCAGCTCCCTGCTAATGCACCTGGGAAAGCAGTGGAGGATGACCCATGTGCTCCTGGCTCCTGGCTTCAGCCTGGACCAGCACTGGCCTTTGTGGCCATTTGGGGAGTGAACCAGTAGATGGAAGATCTCTCTCTCTCTCTCTTTCTCTCTTTTTATTTATTTTTTATTTTTTGACAGGCAGAGTGGACAGTGAGAGAGAGACAGAGAGAAAGGTCTTCCTTTGCCATTGGTTCACCCTCCAATGGCCGCTGTGGCTGGCGCACTGCGGCCGGCGCACCGCACTGATCCGAAGCCAGGAGCCAGGTGCTTCTCCTGGTCTCCCATGGGGTGCAGGGCCCAAGCACTTGGGCCATCCTCCACTGCACTCCCAGGCCACAGCAGAGAGCTGGCCTGGAAGAGGGGCAACTGGGACAGAATCTGGCGCCCCGACCAGGACTAGAACCTGGTGTGCCGGCGCCGCAAGGCAGAGGATTAGCCTAGTGAGCCGCAGCGCTGGCCAAAATAAATATTTTTAAAAAATTCTCACCATCATTTAGGGAGTGACGAGGAAATGACTGAGAGATTAGTAATCTAGAAAGTAGAAGAAAGATGAAGAGACAAGAGGCCTCTTATGAGGGATGCATTTGTTTGGTATTTTAATTTTCGTTGCTCTGAACTGACAGGGGGGACTTTCAGAAGAAAGGTGCTTTCATCAGTCTTTCTCAGTTCTCTTCCAGAATAGGAAATGGGAAGGATTCATTTCCCAGGAAAACACACACACACACACACACACACACACACACACACACAAAGATGGGGCCAGCACTGTGGCGCTGCTGGTTAAAGCCCCAGCTTGCAGTGCCAGCATCAAGTCACGGCAGCTCCACTTCCGATCCAGCTCTCTGCTATGACCTGGGAAAGCACTGGAAGATGGCCCAAGTCTTTGGTCCTCTTCACCCATCTGGGAGATCCAGAAGAAGCTCCTGGATCCTGGCTTTGGATCAGCTCAGCTTTGGCCATTGCAGCTATCTGGGGGAGTGAACCAGCGGATGGAAGACTCTCTCTCTCTCTCTTTCTCTCTCTCTCACTCTACCTTTCTTGTAACTCTGTCTTTTAAATAAATAAAATAAATCTTAAAAAAAAAAAAGACCTTTCCCAGGATGGAATTTTCCAAAGTTTAGTCTTGGCACAGCATATTTTTGTTCTTTTTTTTAAATATTTATTTATTTATTTGAAATGCAGAGTTACAGAGAGGCAGAGGTAGAGAGAAAGAGAGAGAGAGAGAGAGGGAGGGAGAGAGGTCTTCCATTCACTCGTTCACTCCCCCAGATAGCCACAAAGGCTGCAGCTGCGCCAGTCTAAAGCCAGGAGCCAGGAGCTTCTTCCAGGTCTCCCATGCAGGTGCAGGGGCCCAAGCACTTGGGCCACTTTCTACTGCTTTCCCTGGCCACAGCAGAGAGCTGGATGGGAAGTGGAGCAGCCGGGACTTGAACCAGCGCCCATATGGGATGCTGGCACTACAGGTGGTGGCTTTACCCACTACACCACAGCACTGGCCCTGCATCTTTTTGTTCTTACATATTCTTTTCAACATGCTGAGTCAGGGGGTCAAAATGCTCCCTCTTATCTCCTTCTTTTTCTTTCATATAAAAGAAACCCCTAAGACTTGGCTATCAAGCTAGGACTGAGTCCATAAATAGTGTGTTAGAAAGGCCTTCTTAGCTCTGGGAGTGACAAATCTTGGATAGATTACCGAATTCTGTCCTCATGGACTAAATAACTGTAGGCTCATGTGTGTTTATTCTATTATCTGTGGATCTTTGAGAAACTGATTAAGAATAGGAGATGACACCATAATAAGGAAGGAAGGAGAGCTCTAGTTCTAGAATTCTCTTTGGTGCCCCTTGTTATCAAAGAGCTCCTGAGTCAGTGTGTCACATGCCAGGAACATTTTGCTTCTTTCTATTGAAAATTGAAATTACCTCAGTAAAAATAGATATTTATATATTGTGTACTTGTACCAGGATCCCATAAACATCTACTGAGTGCCTACTGTGTGCCAGACTTTCTAATACTCATCTCCAAAATAAGCAATTTGGAATAACTTCAGAATTGGCACAAGATTTCAAGCCCGACTCATAATGACAGAACAATGCAAGACCTTAAACGCCAGGACAGTGTCAGTTTTGCTTGGCTTATAAAATACCAATTAAAAGTGTGGATTGGGAAGGCGAGAGAGACTCATGCAGGTGGAAGGGTATCAAATCCGGCATTGGTGTCGGGCTGTCTTGGAAGCCTTGGGATTCGTCAACCTCTGCACATCTACGCTGCTGGCGTCAGAGGTGCAGACGCACCACCTGAGATGCTCACGAACTCACTGACTCACCTGAGGATTTTTATTGCCAGGTGGAGCCTGCATTTCCTTTGAAAGAAGTCTGCACCGCGGTGGCTGTGATGAACCCTCACTCTGATCACACAAGCACACGGAGCCGACCTGTTTCCTCTCGCTGCCAGCGTTCGATTTCCCTCTCTAGCGATGACGCAGCTGTAGGAACAGATATCCTCGATTCTGCCCCGCGGCGTCCTGTGAGTTCAGTTCCTTAGTCACCTGTCACTCGAGGACAGGAACATATCCTTTCCCTTCCATCAGCTTTGGCTCGGCTCATCGATGTTTGAACAGGTACGAGAGGAATAAGTTCTGGCAAGCGATACCTTGCATCTGCAGCTGTTTCCGCTGTTTGGGGATAAAGGAAAACAGCGTCAGTCCAGTCCGCCGCCAGGAGAAGCCTCTTGGCCTTTTGTCAGGAAAGCAGGATGGAGGAGCGAAGGCTGGCTCTGCACCCGGCCCGGCGGCCTGTTTTCTGGACTTCCCCACAGCAGTGTGGTGTTGGCTCTAAGGCACTGAAAGATGGGAAGGCATTCTCATGGCGGGGAGCCAAGTCAGGTAGGTTTCCCACACTGTGTGATTATGACATCCTTTGGGAAAAGAGCTGGGCAAAGAAAAATTTAAAAAGGACGATTAATGGGAAAAAACCTCACCAAAATAAAGCCTTTCCCTGGTCCCCGTCGCCTCCAGCCCCACCTCAAGGAAGCGGTTCCTTCTGCAGCTCCTGGCAGGGTGGCTGAGCCATCGGTGTTGGGATTTAAGGCCTGGTGGCACAGCTGTGCGCAGACTGAGATGGCAATGACGTGGCTGAGGTTTTGGGTGGGGTGACGTAGGTGGAAACATGTGCAATGCAAGCAATGCTAATGGGAAGTTCTCCATAAATAATTTAGAATTTCATTAAGAGCTACAAGAAAATAGGATTCAGAACAAAGAATCATGAGACAGAATTCTGTCACTTTCAGGTAAAAGCTGTTACTTTTATAAAGTCTTGATTGTTTATTTACTTGAAAGGTAGAAAGAGCCAGAGCCAGAGATACAGAGACATAGAGAAAGACACACAGAGAGAAATCTCCAACTGCTTGTTCAGGCCCCAAATGCATGTAATGGTGGGGACTGAGCCAGTCCAAAGCCAGGAGCTGGGAGCTCAGTCTTGGTCTGCCATGTAGGTGGCAGGGAGCCAAGTCCTTGAGCCATCCCTGCTGCTTCCCATGGTGCGTGTTTACAGGAAGCTGGAATTGAAGTGGAATTGAACTTGAATGGAACCCAGGTACTCCAGTGTGGGAAGCGAGCATCGCAAGCTGTATCTTTTTTTTTCATTTTTTTTTTTCATTTTTATTTTTTGACAGGCAGAGTGGACAGTGAGAGAGAGAGACAGAGAGAAAGGTCTTCCTTTGCCGTTGGTTCACCCTCCAATGGCTGCTGCGGCCAGCGCACTGCGGCTGGCGCACCGCGCTGATCCGATGGCAGGAGCCAGGTGCTTATCCTGGTCTCCCCTGGGGTACAGGGCCCAAGCACTTGGGCCATCCTCCACTGCACTCCCTGGCCACAGCAGAGAGCTGGCCTGGAAGAGGGGCAACCGGGACAGAATCCGGCGCCCCAATGGGGACTAGAACCCGGTGTGCCGGTGCCGCAAGGCGGAGGATTAGCCTAGTGAGCCGTGGCGCCGGCCCCAAGCTGTATCTTAACTATTACAACAAACATCTGCCCCCTGCTAACTTTGATGACCTCATGAGACCAGTTGGCCATTCTTGATGTGTTAGTTATCTGTTTCTAGGAGATAAATTATCACAGAACTTTCAGAAAATCTCCAATGCCTGGTATCTCACCTAGGCTTTGAATGTCAAGCCTCCTGATGTGGCTTTCAGGAGGCTGAGCGGCTGGCCGGGGCTGCCCTCATCTGCAGGCTCGACCGGAGCAGGGGGATCTGCTTTCTCGATGACTCACTCATTCTGCTCTGGGGTGGAGGCCTTGGCTTCTCGCCACGTGGACTTCTCCATGGGGCTGAGGAGTGTCTCAGCACGACAGCCAGCTCTGCCGAGAGTCATCAAGAGAATCAGTGAAGGGGGAATCATTTGCCCTTTATCACCTACTCAGAAATCTCATCTGGTTGCTTCTGTCCAAGGATAACCCACCCTGACGGGGAAGGAAATGGGTTCCACCTTCTCAAGGTCAAAGTAGTAAAGAGAGGTAGTTAAGATGTTACGTGGGAGACCAGCGCTGTGGTGCAGCAGGTTAAGTAGCTGCCTGCTGCCCTGGTATCCCATATGGGTGCCGGTTCGAGCACCAGGTGCTCCACTTCCAGTCCAGCTCCCTGATAATTCATATGAGAAAGCAGCAGAAGATGGTCCAACTCCTTAGGTCCCTGCATCCATGTGGGAGACCTAGATGAAGCTCTTGGCTCCTGGTTTCAGCCTGGCCCAGTCCCAGGCCAATGTAGCCATTTGGTTAGTGAGCCAGTGGATGGAAGATTCTTTCTCCCTCTCTCTCTGTAACTCTGCCTTTCAAATAAATAAACAAATCTTTAAAAAAAAAAAAAAAGATGGTACTTGGTATACACACATTCCATGTTCAGATGTCTGTGTGGAGTCCTAGCTCTGCTTCTGATTCCAGCTTCCTACTAACGCATGCCCTGGAGGCAGCAACTGATGGCTACAATTGGGTCCTTCTGCTACATGGGATGTGTGGACTGAGTGCCGGCGCCCAGCTTCAGCCTGTCACAGCCTTGGCTGTTACAGGCATTTGGGGGAGTGAACCAGCAGATGGAAAATCTCTATCTGTCTCTGTGTCTCTCCCTACCTTTCAAATAAAATGAAAATAAATACATTTTTTTAAAAAGAGTAGTGAGGACTTTGTGAACAGATTTTTTTTTTTTGACAGGCAGAGTGGACAGTGAGAGAGAGAGACAGAGAGAAAGGTCTTCCTTTTGCCATTGGTTCACCCTCCAATGGCCACCGCGGCCGACGCGCTGCAACCGGCGCACCGCGCTGATCCGATGGGAGGAGCCAGGTACTTATCCTGGTGTCCCATGGGGTGCAGGGCCCAAGCACTTGGGCCATCCTCCAGTGCACTCCCAGGCCACAGCAGAGAGCTGGCCTGGAAGAGGGGCAACCGGGACAGAATCCGGTGCCCCAACAGGGACTAGAACCCGGTGTGCCGGTGCCACAAGGCGGAGGATTAGCCTAGGGAGCTGCGGCGCCGGCCTGAACAGATTTTAAAACTACTGTGAGTAATGAATCACAGAAAAAAAATTCACAAAAACCCTCTGTTTTGATGATTTAACATGAAGTTTATTCAATTAGTTTCCATAATTTAACCTTAGGCTGATTTCCTTTGGCTTATATACCAGAGGGCTAAAGAAGGACCTTCTTTTAGGTAAGAGGTGACTATGTTTTAAAAGAAGTTGAATTTCCCAGTTGACTGAGTTGGGCATGGTTCTAGCAAAAGCAATGCGGAAGCCCCAGAAGGTGTGTTATGTCAGCCACACCATGTCCACCACGTTTACCGAAATATTCTAGCTGCTTTCCTGGCTGAACTTGATTGTGTTTTCATCTACCCTTGGTCGATGACAGTGCCTATCCTGTGTTGTGTGTGTGTTTTCTGAGACCAGACGGTTGAGAAGGCTTGACCACACGTGGAGCTCATTTCAGCACCAAGCAAAACAAAAATAAGCAAAGACAAGGTCATCGGATGGGTGAGTCCAGAGATGTGTGGCCGGACTGTGTGCAGAAGGCTCAAAGACCCAGGGCAGTTTGAAGTAGAGGGTGGGCTGGCTGTACCCCCTCAGAGCTTCCTCCAGTAGCTCGGGCTGGCCTCTGCCTCCATTTGTTGGAGGGCTTTAGCCTAGAAGCTGGAACCCTACCAGCCAGCACACAGCAGAGCAGCCTTCAACTAACAATGGTTGGCAGCTGGTGGTTAAGACCCCAGCTCCCTCAGCCCTCAGGTAGGAATTCCAAGGCGTGTATTTTACCCTGGCTTCTCGGGATCCAGCTCGGATTGCTCACAGTAGTAACTGGATTGGCAATGTCTTCCCTTCTGTTCAGTTCTCTGCTGTATGCTTACTGGCGCTTCCTAGAACCACCTCTCAAAGAAACTGCCACGTTTGAGCAAATCCTCAAGACTGAGTCTGCTCTAAAGAAATGAAGGTGGGGCTGACATGTTTGATTGACTGTCTTGTGGAAGAGTGATTGTGTTTATTTCTCAACAGGGACCTTAGGACCATCGGATAAGGTTACTAGGAGGAGGATTTTTGTTTAGCATAAGGGAGCATTCTTTAACAACTCTAGAAGACTAACGATGGAATGGCTTACCTTTGGAGGTAATAAACACAGTGTCATGGGGTATATTTATTCAGATGCTGGTTAATCACCAGGGATCAGGCTGATAAAGGGCCTAAACTAGATGACTTACAAGGCCAGAGGTGGGTTTACCAAAGTGTTTCTGTATTTTTACTATAACAAAATACTTGGGACAGTGTCGCTCCCCCTCTTCATGGAGGAACGACACTAAACCCTGCCTAGGCTTCATATCCGAGTCACGGCACCATATGTCACTCCCCGTCTTCGTGGAGGAACGACACAGGACCCTGCGCTGTTCTTTTGTCTGCTCGGCCCTCCCCGGGTTTGCTGCTGGTTCTTCCCGGGTTGGCTACCGTCCCTCCACCTCCGTGGAAGGGCAGTTCCCCCTAGCCACTTTCCCCACTTCCGTGGGGGAGTGGCACACCGCCGGCCGGCTCTCTCGGGGGCTGCACAGGTGTTCCTTCAGATAGATGTTCCTGGTGCATGTTGTCTCTCTCCTCCTTTATAGTCCTCTTCCACCAATCCCAACTCGGCTGCCCACACGCCGAGTACACTGCTCTCCTCCAATCAGGAGCAGGTCCTGCTGTTTATTGGTTGAACTGGAGGCAGCTGTGTAGAAGCTGTTTCCTCCTCTCCCAGTGCCATATTGTGGGAGAGCAGATGCATAGAATAAGTCTTAATTCCAGTAACTTAGTCTAGTCCGAGTTGCTCCCAGTTGCTCCCCACAGGACAGGCTAAATTTATAGAGAAAAGAGGTTCCACTATCCCGCAGTTTTGTAGGCTGAGTCTAAACAGCATTACACAGGCTCTGGTAAGGGC